TGTTTTGGTCATTTCTCGTACACTATCTCGGACACAAGTGTATCCGAATTCCTTGTAACTCGGTAACTGGGTTGTCCGGTTTTGTTGTAACTCGCACACAAGTCTAGTCGATTTAGGCTTTCATCGCTTAAGTTCATCCAATTTGGTGTAATACGCACACAAGCTTGACCGGACTTGTTCCTCGGTCATTTACTTAGTTGTGATCTGAGTTTCCTCGCATATGGACTTGACCCTTATTGGCCAAAGGCTTATCCGAGGTCTATTTTTCCCCGGACACACTACATCTCTTGGTCGCGACTTGTCTTTCTCGTATCCTAATCCGGTAACAGTTGTGTCCGAGCTTGCCATCCTCGCCCAATCCCCGTGTCCGACTTAGCCATCCTCGGCAACCCCTTTACGCGAATATACTTCTCGGTAACTCTTTGCTCGCAACTTGTTTCTCTCGAAGCCAAATCCGGACACTGCCTTGTCCGGATTTAACTTTCCTCGGCCAACGACTTGCTTTCTTGTATAACAACACTCGTGTCCGATTTAGTCTTGATCTCGGATACAAGCTCGTCCGATTTAAGTGGTCCTCAGCCACAGCCATCCGGATTAGCACCAACCTCGGCCAAAGCTTCATCGGGTAGTCCGGTTTTGAGTCTCAAGGCCAAAAGACTTAGATTTTTAAAGCCTTGTCCAATTTATGCTTAAGACTTGGCCACAAATTTTGGTTTTGTCTGATTTTCATCAAAAATATTGTTCTTTGAGAAGTTTGAATTGTTTTGATCTTATTTAACTGTTTTGAATCGTTTTGTGTCGTGTAAACTGTTATGATCAGATTTTAATAATTTTTGACTGTTTTTAACAGTTTTTTACTATTTTAACTGATTTTAGACAGTTTTCACTGTTTTTCTTATTTCTGAACAGTTTCTGAGCTTTTATGAGATTTTTGAATTTACTGATTTTCTTTGAAGGATTTATTTGGAATGAGATTTCTCTGACTGATTTCATACATTGCATAAGATTCGTTGATCAATCGTTGAATTTCTAATGGCAGCTTTTCTTGAGAAGGAGAATAAGGAACTTAAACATAAGATTTCTGAGTTAGACTAGAGCGTAAAGGATTATAAAGACAAATACATAAACATGTTTTATGAAAATCATGCTAATGAGGAAATTGCTCAAAATTTACGACGAGAGCATAAAGAAGTCATGGAACAAGTTGAAGAGACTTCATGAATAAGATTAAAAAGCTTGAGAAAACTGTGAATTTTGTCAAAAAAAAAAAGACACAAATGAAGAGTTAAAAACTTGGAGTAAGTCAAATAAAGATCTGCTCAATAAACTCCAAGAAGTTCAAAACGAACTGAATGCTGAGAGAAACTCTTCAGAAAAGAAATATACAGAGACTGATGATTCCACAGAGAAATTTCATGAATGTGAGAGTGAATTACTTGAAGTAAGAAAATTAGTGAAGTTAGAGAAGGAAAAAGTTCTAGAAGTTCTCCAAAAGGTGTTCTCCAAGCCACTTCTTATATGCTTTGATTTGATTCAAAAGAAGTTCGCTTTCTCTGCTCTTCAAAAAACACAAATATCGGGTCTTTACTTTAATTCATCATTGGACTAGTTTTCAGTTCAAGAGTCAAACCCAACCCCACTCTAAGTAAGTTAAGGGGTTTTGGAGCATTTATTCTAAAATCCTGTAGTGAAATTGAGACTGCTCGACTTCAGAAGCAAATTTGTAGATCAGACACCCAGCTAACGCGTAAAACACTCCGCCTGGGGAGTACGGTCTACGAACGACTGTGCTAGTTGTAATATATCGACTTTGGGAGATTGACCTTGCAAAAAGACTAAATAATAGGTCTATAGGCAAAGGGAAGTGGGTGCTTGAAAAGGCCCCCGAAGTGGTAGAACCTGTGAACCTAACGTACTATTTTACTCTACTTCAGTAGGCCGAGCTCTTTGATAGTGACTTCTTTCGGTTATTTCTTTACATTTTTAATATTTTGTTATGATTCACGTTTTACGTCGTTTAGAATCTTAATTTTTATTTTAAATTCTCTAATTTTAAAACTTTACATATTACCTATAGCATATTATAAATTAGATTTGTATTAAAAAAAATTATTCAAACACATTTAAAAAATATTATTTGAACACATCAATAATTAACGCAAAAACATAATTAACGGACAAGTTTAAGTATTCCACGTAAATTAAAAGATACATAACCCAAATATCGGTATTATTTGAATTAATTAATATATAAGTATCTATATTATATTATAAAGTAGGGGTTCATTCAAGGGATAACTGATTAGTTTGTGTTAATCGTGAGATTCAATCGTGAGAACAGATTAATTTATCTATTGATTTGTGGTTGAGATTGGATCTCACGGTTACTACAAACTAATTAGTTCTCATTTGATTAGGCCCCTTATAAAGCATTTGACAAAAACTTTTAAAAACCATTTTCTATACATAAAGTATTGTTTATTGATGCATATTACTTAATTCAATATTACAAGTAAATTGTGTATAATTACAAGTTTCATGTTTGAATTCGTGTAACCAGCTGCAGATAAATATAATTAAATACAGGATAAACATTTCATTTAAATATAAAAAATCTAAAATATAATGAGAATAATAATTGAGTACTAACAGAATACTTAATTATTATTCCAATTTATATTTTATTTAAAAATAAAAACATTATCTTTTTTTTAAAACCATATAAACACCGTATTAAAACATCTATAGAGACGGAATAAAATTAAACATTAAAATCGAGATGTATTTCGCTGCATTGTGCGAGCACCCTTCTAGTTTATCAAAATTTATTTAATTAAAGATAGCAACATCCTTAAAATATATTTATTTTCTAAAAAAAAAATTATCACCCATTAAAAAATATTAATGTTTGCAAAAAGTATTATTACCCGAAAACCAAATGTCACCAAGCAGGATCTGTCATATTTCCTTCAATTTATATAACTGGTTTAAGTGTTTTATAATTTTAATATAAAATTCATTTTTATAGCTTTTTCTTACTCCTACAACGAATAATAAACGAAAAGTATATAAATATACAGTAAAAAAAAACCTATCGAATTTACACGTAAGAAATTAACATATGCAAATATACTTTTCTGAAGCCAAATGCTCTTGAATGGATGGTTGAATAGAAGGATAAATCCTTTTTTCTCGTTCGTATTGAATCTAGTATATCACTTTGAGATCCCATACGTCATTGATCACGACACTTGAGGTTTGGATTACATCCCCTATGATAAGGCTTGGGATGGTCATCATCATTACAGCTTCCGTCATGATTTCGTTTGGTGCATGGAAACGCTTCATCTCCATATTGAAGCACATGATAGTCAATGTCTTTGGCGTCGACGACCTCCATAAAGCTGGAACACATGATCATCATAACCGCAACCGAAAACGCGAATACTACAACTTTTCCCATTGTAGCCTTCCTTCAATTCCTACGACCTAAACAATTAAACTTTTCCTAATTAACATGAGTTTTCTTTTGCAATTGATGTGGTAAATTAACGTAAGCACATTACTGATCACCATCCATGAATGCATGGTTAAGAAACGATGAATATTTAGGTCTAAACCAGATGAAATTTTCTTGAGATCAATGGATATAAACTAGCACAAGTATTTTTAGTAATGTTATTGATATAACTGATTTGGAAGATTGGTTCAGAATTTTTGAATTAGAATATTGTTTTGACATGCGAATGAATCGCCAATAGATAAACAGTTATTATATAAACTAGGTGTGATGAAATTGATTGATACAAATTACTTTGGAAAGTTAAGATGCAACCAACTTATTTCGTGTACGATGAAACATATACATTGATGAAGATTTATTACATATGTAACATATTATCTATACTACCTTATAAACCAAATTTATCAAAAGTCTTAAAAACAATTTTTAATGCACAAAGTACTATACAATTATGCACAAAGTCTTAAAAGTCTTAGAAACAACTCATAATGCATTAAGTACTACTTTATGCATTCAGTCTTCAAATCTATTAATCTACAATTAAAATAACATGTAGTATAAGTTACCAATGCACATTATTGCTTTTTCTTTTCATGTTCTCAAGATACTTTTGACATTTTTCACTCATGCATTCACCCTCTCATACCTTTATGTTTTCTCCCCATCCCCCAAGGTAAGATTCAAACTGATATTCATCATGAATTATTAAAAGTTCTCTCATTCAACTATTTTAGAACTATCGGTTTCGCTCTCGATCTCTTGATTCTTTGCTCTTGGTGTAAATCGAACACATTTATGGAGTCGTTTAAATATGTTAGATTTTAAATATATTTGATTTTAAATTGTCATACAATTTTTTCCATTAATAGATTATAATTGAGACCATAACTTTTATTTATTCAAATTGTATTAATATATAAAAACCAAATATAACTTATATCATCGTTAAATCTTCTCTAATAAAACCAGTGAAATTCCAAAAACGTTAAAATTCACGACTCCCGCCGCATTACGCGGATACACAACTAATATAATATGATGTGCTCATTCCCATTAAGCCCCAATTCTCATTCCATAAAAATTTATTCTCTTTTTTATTCTGTCTGAACCAAAACACCCCCTGTATCATCCATGTTCCCTAAAAGAGGTTCTTTTAAAGAAAAACTTTCACATATCTTTTTTAAAACGCACGACCTTCTGACAGATTTAAGAACGTATCTGCCTAATAAAAGAATAATGTCTCTTTTTAACACAAGAATGCCTCAAAAGTTGTCGAAATTACATACATTCAAAAGATTTGTCAGAAGGTTATTCTTTCTATATATATCCCTAAAACAGGTGGTACTTTCAGAACCAAAATCAACATCAGTATCTTGCAACAATACAGTTGGGAAATAGAACATTTTGACTTGAAAATGGGACAAGAAACAACCATTACAATTAGTATAAAGGCCTTCCAAAATAAAACTTGCATCAATTTCAATCAAACAAGAGAGCAAGAACCTTTTTTTATTATCAAATATCGTTAAATCCGAAATTTGGATCCAGATAATGATCGGCTACGATTGTCAAGCAAGCAGAAAAGGTACGTCAAATTATCACGAGTGTGAACATAAAAAAAAACGATAAACTGGGGGCGAGTTTTAACCAAACTGGTGTATGAAAGCAGCTCCAGCCTCTCTCCAATTTCTACATGCATAACCAGAAGACAATTCAATAACCTGCCACAACAGGAAAATTGATTTATTTAGTATGTTGCTCAGGTATTCTTATAGATTTAAATTTACCCTTTTTATCAATCTAGACTTCACTTCAAAGGTCGAACCTATTACTTTAGATGCAAAATGGATTGTTGAGTTCGTTACAAATTCTACATCAACATTTCAAAATTCTGATGCAAAACAAAATAGAAACCCTGGACCTGCATCTATATTCAATCCTTCTATCGATTTTATGAGTATGGTTTCTCCCTTCTGTCAATTTCACCATCACCAGCCCGTATCCCCCATCTTTGGAGTGACAAGGAGAGATGGAAAGGATGCAGCAAGATGGAAAGATACAGGTCAAACTGTTGACAATTTTGATCGAACAATCTTATAGATAGAAGCACTTCCAGATMCTACCAATTCATGGTTGTTTGCTCCACCACCTATGATATCAGACCTCAATTGGGTATTCACCGCAGCATGCATGACTCATTGATCCGAAGATGATTTTATCTTTTTGAGAGTTTCTTGTTCGGTCAAGATACCATATCAAAGCGGATAGTTACACAGTATCGCTGTTGTGTTATGGTATTGCATCACCTCTTTCTTTGTCTGCATTTGTTTCCTTTGTCATGTAATGTCTATGTCTTCTAGAGCTTCTTATTCAGGTACACGTTTTTGTGGTGTAGATTCAACCAGCCAACCTTTGTTTCTTATGACAGTTCTATCATGAAAGAGACTTTACCTTTATTTGTTTGGTTCAAAATTATACTTTTCTGGTCATCTTTGACCCACCAGAGCCTCATCTAGAGCTTCAAGGAGAGAGTACCGGTAGTTCCTGAGCTCTTCTCCGGTGACGATTGTGGGAGAACTGTTTGTCCACTATTCTTCTTTGAATCCTAAATCAAATCATGTTTCTATGGTATCAATTGGAGTGGCCACTGAGTTTCTTTGTTCTATGTTTTCAGCATTTTGGTTCTGGAGAGGATTATATGAGATAATGTTTCCATGTATGGTTTACAAAGCACTTTTCCTATCTAGCAATCCATCCTTTGAACTCTCATGCTTGTACGCTAAATTTACAATCCCAAACTACGAGCATTTGCCATCTTCATCAATAGGTTGGCACTTGCTTTTCTAAAAGTAAGATGGATCCAATGGTTGGTAGTAATTTTAGAACTACGATCATGAGCACTGTTATCTGTTTTAATCACTCACTGACCATCATTAATTGTGTTACAATAGAGTTGACTAGTCAATATCCACTAAATGATCCAGCTATTCAACAACCTCTTTTGTCAACATGAAGTGCTGAGAGGAAGGTCTTCCTCAGAAATTCAATTACCAAGTTTGACATTACAATTTTGTGGCGGTAACAATTTTGTAGAAACGTAGCACTTTTGTCAGCAATTACAGATATAAAGCTAGTGATCATTTCATTTCACTCTAAAATTAGCAGTCGAAAGTGTATTACAAATTGATCATGTGAATTAGGGGCTTTGAAAATCTAACACCTCAAGAACCATTTATGTTTCAGATAAGTTCTTCAAGTTCCATCTTCAATCAATTAGGTTGAGCTTCTAGGTTACAAATTTGCGTCAGTGTTCCACAAATCCAAGTTTTCATAGTTCCATGACTGATAAATGCATATCTAGGTTCAATTAAAAGTGAAAGGCCAATATATTAGCAAAAACCTTGCTGCAGCTATAATTCATAGTTTCTTACATCCTACTTGACTACAATTTGTGTCGGGTTTCTGTCCACGGGTATACACAAGTTTAAAAATCTGTATGTTCTCCATATTAACCTCAAAATGCAATCAAGGAACTTAACTAGCAACGAGATTATTATCCCTCAAGTATGCATCTATATATTTTTATGTACAATGGATTATAAGTCTAGCATATAAGCATGGTAAAGAGATTGGGTATGAATGCAGGTTTAAATATGTTAACCCCATTTACTGACACCAAAAGGATGGATCAGAAACATTCAACAAGCACCAGCAATCTAGTAGATGAATAGTACCCTACCACATTTCAGTCCCAAGTTTGAATCTACTTCAGCCAAAAAAAAGAACATTCGAGATGAGACAACTCAGACAAGTTACATATTCATTTTTGGGTAAATCAAGGACCATTTGGAGGATCTAGAAATGGTGCATGACAGCATGAGATTCCCTGGTACATCATGTATCACCACATAAAGACCAATCTCAGTAAACTGGTTGTCAATTGTCATTTTTAAACTTGGGTCATGTTTGACAAAACTCGATGTGTTAAATGGCTAGATACAGTTTAGAGGTTGTGTAAAATTGATGCTAAACAAAAAGTATTATTTGCCAAGTGTATTGTTGTGTGTTCTCAGCAACACAATTTCACCACTTTAACCCTATAACCTATTTTACACACATTACAGTTTAAAAATATTGAACAATCTTAATAATTCAATAATGACGTAAACCTAACCAACACATTGAATTATTTATGAAGTCACAAAATTTTCAAATGCTGGCAGATGTATTGTTACATGGATACTATTGTTACTTAATTTTTAATATAATCATAAATAACAAATACAAAAACTATTTGAATATGATACTACTCAATGAAGAAAAATGGAAAGAGAAAAATCCGGTCATGTTGAATAAAAGGCAAAAAGAAAATTTTAAATGATATGTACAAATACCAAACCAACAAGAAAACAAAACAAAATAAACATAAAAAGATGAAATAAAAAAATAACAAAAGAAAAGCAATTACACAACATAGTGGACAAACAAAACAAAAGAAAAATATGTTGAAAACCAAAATTTAAACCAAAGTGAAGTGTAAGGGAGTAATTCATGCTCCAGAACAAAAATATAGCAATGTCAAAGATTAAACAAAACTGGTTCCTGTCAGGACTTACTTGTACATATGGACCATTAAAAAGCAAGTTGAATCATTAAAACATACTCAGATTGATAAACAATGAATCTTAATCAACAAAACATATGACCCACACAGCAGCTTGTGAAGAGCCAAAGAGACAAGTGATTAGTAAAGTTAGTTAGATCAGTGCCTTCACATAGATGAATAGTTTGGTGATCTTTGAGCTCGATTACTATACTTTTATGGTTCCAAGTCATTTAATAAAAGGGAGGAAGAGAGACGCTTTCGTATGGCAACAGATTGTTTTCCTAAGGATGACATCACATGTCTTTTAAGATGATTACAAGCTAAATAAAAAATAAGAAAATAAATATGCCCTATAATGAACCCATAATGGCTTGGCAGGTAGTTTAGAGTCTTCAAATTCATGTACATATTGCAGTAAGAACTTTGAGACCTCTGGAACACCATGTGATTGGTTGGAAATTTAAAAGCTCATAAATGTCAATGACCGCTTGCAGCGACTCCATAGACAAGATAGATTTGTAACCTCTTTGTATTGGTAGTTGTTGTGTGGGTATAATTCTTAATTAGATATTAAATCATCTAAATGACACCTAGTATTTATACACGTATACTTCTCATCCTCAACTCTGATATATGTGCTATCATTAGTGTATGTGAGCAAGTATTTAATTTCTGCGCTTAAACAATTAATCTAAATCATATAAACCACTAATAGTATCACTCACACATGGTAATGAAATAAGAAATACTACAATACAAACAATGACATAATAGACTGGCAATGAAGAGTTGTTTTCCTCAGGATCACATTCAACATTTCATCACACCTGTGAAAAAGTTGTCTTTCGTCACACCTATAGCTAGTGTGGATAGGAAGTAGAGTTAGGGAGGGTGAGGGTAGGACACGGGGAGGACTAGGGAGCTGTCGGTTAGGGTATCAGAGGCCTGTGTTAGATTAAGGGTTTGTGTGTATTCTCGTACTTCGTATATGTTTTCTTGTGCCTTATGTTCCTTTTTTCTCCTTCCTAATATGTGCTAGTCTTGATTATCCTTCTTGTCCTTATCTATTCCTTTTCGCTCAAACTTTTACACAAGCCGGGGGTCTTAAAAGAATTGCAGCTCTGCGCTTTGGGGGTACCAATTACCATACGGCATACGATGCTTTCAAGCAGGATATGCCGGGTCTGTTTGGTTTGGATTAGATTGGTTATAGCACTTGTGAACAATGCATAACTAATTATCCAAGCTGTTTCTACTTATACTAGGGTGTGTGTTCCCCTGTTGTAACCTCTTCAGTATCAGAAGTTATCAATCACAAATGAAACTAAATAGAAGAAACTTCACAGATAATCCATGAACATTTAAAGAAGCAAAGGCAATTCCAAGCAAATAAGGTCGACTTTCAGCAGCCCCAGATTTGTCCAATGCTTGTCCCTTGTTATATTCCTCATATCCAAGTGAACGAACACATACCTTCTGGGACTGCTATTGGTCTGTCAATCAACCCTAAGTAACAACTAGATGTGATATAATCAATAGCCATGGCAATAAAACACGGCACCTAAGAGCAATCAATCAACCCTAATAAACAACTGCAAGTAACAAAGTTCATGGAAATATACCGTTAAAAAGACATCACTCCAAGCTCTGAACCTTGGGAGCTGCAAAATTAACAGAAACCCTTTAATGTTAAAATCAAAGAAATACGAACGATAGACAGAGACAAAATGGAGGTTATCAAAATTGCAGAGGGCAGACCGTGCTGATCAGGATGGCGACCGTCTTTACCCCATCCAATACCACGAGTAGAATCGAGGTACTGCTCGACAAGGTGACGGCACTTCTGAAGGTGATTGACACCTTCAATGCGGTAGCACCACCGGAGCTTGTCACGGATTATCTTTGAGGTCTCGATGTCGATCCATTTCTCCCTCACGAGATGCTCGCGCATCTCGATCATCGCCACCGGATCCTTGTAGGGGTTGGCCGGATCGAAGTCCGGCGGTTGTTCGTCAAACACCACTTCCTTCTTCCTACCCATTTTTTGGCTCTCTCGCTGTCTCCCAACTTCGCCTCAGAACGTAGTAATTCAGGCTGCAACTGTTGAGTGCGTGTGTGTGTTTTGGGGGATATCGACTTTTGGTTAAAAGATGTAGGTTTTGGAACGTTAAGTTTTGAATATTAGCATTTATACCCCCTGAAGGTTACTGTTTCTTTAAAAAAATTGGAAATTTATGTTGTACAATTTTTTCCGTTTACTTCATAAGAGGGATGACAATGGTCGAGAGTCTTACCTGGTAAGTGAGGGTGACGACTCTTATTCGGTTAGCACTTACCGGATAAGTTGTTGTATACGATGTCATTTTAATGTATTAAAAACTTACCGAGTAATATAAATGAGTGTTTACTCTTAACGGTAGGTGCTTACCTGGTAACTTAAATGTATGGTTATATGTTAATGCCATTTTCACACACATCTACATCAGGTCATTTTATATTTTTCCGATATATAATTTGTCTTAATTTTGATTTAAATAGTTATGTGAATAACAATACCCTTTTTTCTTATCACTTTTGATTTGAATTCACAAGATTATGGCATGTCATAAATTGCTTTCTTTACTAATGAATCATGTAACATTAGCTTAGGGGCCGTTTACTAAACACTTACTTGGTAAGTGCTTACCGGATAAATTTCCTTATCGGATGAACATGAGAAGGGCCAAGAATCTTATCAGGTAAGAGCGATGAGAATGATAGAGAGTCTTACCCGGTAAGTGAGGATGACGACTCTTATCCAGATAAGCACTTACCCAGTAAATTGTTGCATTCGATATATTTTAATGTACTAAAATCTTGCGCATCAAAATAAATCATAGTGTTGACTCTTATCGATAAGAGCTTACCGGGTAAGCAAATGGCAAACGGCACCTTACTTTTCATTCTAGTGGTGAAAGCGCTTAGTAAGTTGGTATGTTAACAAAATTAGATGTTATATTTGGTTGTGGAGAATATGTGTGTATACATTTAATGTAGCACGTATTAGTGACACAAATCAAAAGCAAAACAATTGTGGTCGCCAACACCAAAAGAAGGAAATTGGGCCATATACGACCCACACGCAACTCGAGTCGTCTAGAGGGTCACTTTTGGAATATGGTAAAAGTGGTTCTTGCGACCAACCGCACGACCTGGTCGCTTGGCCAGTCACCCGCCTACACACCCAGATGATTTTCCTCAATTGTTTCCAATCTTATCCTTTTATTTTATTACGTTAAGGATCCTTTTAAATTCCTAGTTGTTCGAATTAAGTTTTGTTAGTCTCAATCACTTGATTTGATAATAACACAGATTACATTCGATTCAACACTTCAAAATATTCTTAAATTCTTGTTTCAAGAAACATAAAATTCCAACTTACTCTTATATTTTAATTATTATTCATCCATATCTCATAATCCGGAGTTATTATCACATTAATAAGAGCAATAATTCAAGTCCTCACATCAATAGAGGTAATAATTCAAGATCATTGCATCTCATGGATGCAATAACAAGATATATGATCAAAACTCAGATTTCACAATTGTCACTCTTATTCAAAGGTACACATCTCCATTATATATCACCATTATCTCATGATACACATTTCCTTGACATGCCTAGGTCTTACCGTTCCATCGTCTGGCTTATGTTCTTCACGTAGCATTCAGACCGAATGACTATGAACTTATGTTGATACTTCCACATATTATAGGTAACGTAGGAGACATCTCTATTTTTTCTCCCGGGAATCTTTAGAATTACCACTGCTTAGCTTTCAATTCGCCTCTGACCATCAAATGAAATGTGAATAATCCATCATTTTCTCTTTGAAAGAAGGGACGCTTCCAGTTCTGTCGGTGCTTGAAACAATTTTGTCTTCTCCATATTACTATATCTCTAGAGTCAATAATTTTATATGAGAAACTACTGAACTCAATCAATTGCTGCCATTACTCTTCAGTTTTCTATTGAGGTCTATCCTGTAGAGGTACTCAAATTGGATCAGTGATCGATTTCTGGGTTTCGTCGTAAACCTAATTGGTTACTTCCAACTACGTAAATCAATAGTTCAAACCGCACTAAATGGTATGGCATTTCCCATTTTTATAGGAACTTTTGTACTATAAACAATGGTATTTTGTGTTCGAGATTGTCTTTTGTGTGTGTGTGTATATATATATATATAATAAATATATATAGTTGAAGGTTCAAATAAAAAATTTGAACATCGTAAAAAGATAAGAAGAGAAAGTTAAGAAAAAACTCGTATATAAATCGATGAATAAAATTCATTTGAAGATGCACATGTGAATTAATATCAATAATCTATAACGTTGGTTGATGTATGCATTTTTAAACAAAAATTTCACATATAAACATTCTCTAACCTTCTCTCCTTATGATATTTAGCTTTATTATTTGACTCATCTATCTTTACATATATATATATATATATATATATATATATATACATAAATATATATAAGAACACCGAATATAAAATGAGACATAAGCCTAGTCAACATATATAGTTGCGTCACGTCCCACCAATTTATATGTTGTGTTGTCTCCCTCGTATCAAACTCCATCGACAACGGCTTGCGTCCAATGGGCTCGAACTCGAACTCCGGATTCTTGCTACTGTTAATACTTTTGTGTTTTTTTTGCTACATTTTTTGAAGTTAAAAAAAAATAGAAGATTAACATATTCAAAAAATTTGAAACTTGAAGACATGAAATTGAAGACGCTGACTTACATGATGTCTCACATGTTATAGGCATCCTAGTTGGATCTCGAGGAGGATCATCCTAACCAGTGACGGATCTAGGAATTATTTTTAAAGGGTGTACATTTAAGATTGATCAAACAGTCGTAAAATCGTGGTTGACATGGGGGGAAGTCAACGTGTTTTGACCCGGTAAAAAAGTTATTTGTGTCAATTTGATCAATAGAACACTTTTTTTTCTGAACGAAATCGACGTGCAAGACACAAGACTATGTCTTACGCTCGACATATTTTATCTGAATTCCATCGCTACAAGACACTTCTTTGGTTTTTTGATTGATCTCCTAAACTTTTCTAATTTATAGGATTTGATTTTAATTGTCTTTTATCTTTTTTTTTTCCTAAGTTTTCAATTTTGTTTTCTCATGCATCTCAGGCATCTGCTATTAAATATGATCTTTAATGTGAATCAGATGAGAAATAAATAAATTGTAACACGTAATATGCTTGGAAAGTGTGAATCAGATGAGAGAATAGATAATCCCTCATGCAGGGGCGGAACACAAGCTTTTCAACGTCATGAGCCGGACTTGATTCCCAATAACGTATCACATAAATGAGTAATCGGGGTATTGAGAAAAACTAAGGGGTCGTTTACCAAACACTTACCCGGTAAGTGTTTAGCGGCAAAATTTAACACTATTAATTACTTACCGGGTAAGATTTTAGTTCATCAAAACGATATTGTATGTAACAATTCACCCGGTAAACGCTTACCGTGGTAAGAGTCGATTGCTCTCACTTACCGGGTAAGACTCATGGTCATTGTCTCATTCTTACCGGATAAGATTCTTAGTACTTACCATATTCATCCGATGAGGTAATATGACTTGGTAAGCGCTTACCCGAGTAAGTGTTTAGTAAACGGCCCCTAACATGTTTTTCTTTGAAAAACCCTTGAATAGTATATGTCGACACTTCAATAAAAATTGATTTATAAGACCTTAAAAATGTCTAAATCTATAAATACATTCTATTATAGGACTTTAGTGATAGGACAGAATATTTGTATATCTGATGTAAAAGTGTTACAATAACTTTATAGACGTTTCCTGACATTTTAACACAAAAATAGCACATTTTTGAACTAAGTGTCATTTTAAATTATTTTATATAATATTATTTGGAAACGTGTCTTAAAAAAACAAATATGTGTAAAAACATGTATTCATAGGACGCTTATTAAAAGCGTTCAGAAAACTAGTTAAAACGTTTTAAAACGTCAATAAACATTTTTATATAGGATGTACAATTGTTTGGTAGTATAAACTTAAGTCATATAAAACTATCTCTTGATTTAAGTCATAAACAATATAGTATGATAATTTTATTTTCTAAGAACTTGCTAGATGACAGTAAGGGGCCGTTTACCAAACGTTTACTCAGGTAAGTGAACACCAAGTCATTTTACCTTATCGAATGAATATGGTAAGGATCAAAAATCTTACCCGATAAGAGTGAGACAATGACCAAGAGTCTTACCCGATAAGTGAGGGCGACGACTCTTACCATGTTAAGTGCTTACCGGGTAAATTGTTGCATACGATACCGTTTTTATGGACTAAAATCTTGTCTGGTAAGTAAATGATAGTGTTAAGTTTACCGATAAGCGCTTACCGGGTAAATATATGTTTATAGCCCTCATAAGCATTCGTCAGTGACTTCATGGCTGATGATTGAGGAATAGAAGTGGAAACAAAAGCCTATTATTTAATAATGATGATGAGTAGTTTTGTCATGTCTTAGGGGCCGTTTACCAAATACTTACCCGGTAAATACTTACCGGTAAAATTTAACAATACTATTACTTACCGGGTAAGATTTTAGTCCACCAAAACGACATCGTATGTTACAATTTACACGGTAAATGTTTACCGTGGTAAGAGTCGTCGTTCTCACTTACCGGGTAAGACTCTTGGTCCCTGTCTCGCTCTTACCAGGTAAGATTCTTGGTCCGTACCATATTCATCCAGTGAGGTAATTTGACTTGATAAGCGTTTACCCGGATAAGCATTTGGTAAACGGTCCCTTAGTCGTATCAAACATAGCACAAACAATTAGTCATATCTTGTCATGTTCCGTCTTGTTCTGTCTAATATAAGGTTGTTTTTAAGATTTTATCTAATATGCTAATATAAATAATAATAAAATATATTATATTATTTAATTGATTTTTAACGTTTATTTTTTTAATGACGATTCAATTTCCTGAGCATTTATGAATTATGACCACGCTGTTTAAAAGCAGTGCCATTAGCACTCCCCATTCAAGCCATCACAGCATCGTTTCTTTCTCTTTCACCCGCGTCCCTCTCCCCATCCTTGCTCTCCATCTGCCATTTCAGGTATGAATAATGCGATTTCATTAATCAGTTTGGTTTTTGCTGATTTGGGTTTGTTTATTTTGATGAATAATGATTTTGTGTTGCTTGAAATATGCTCTTGATGTATATATTGTTTGGTCTCTGTGTTTCGGTTCTAAGATTTTCACTATTCTCTTTGTTTTTCGCTTATCGTATGAACTGGGATTTTGATTTTGTTGTTTTGCTTGTTCTCGTTGATGAAATAAGTCTATCATCACATGTTTTCTAGAGTTCATTACTTATTTATGCCAAGTGTTTGTTAAAAGGTCTGACTTGCCTGATTGTCGTTCTTCATCTTCTTCTTACGTAGGTGAAGTGTTTGTTAAAATGCCTGACTTGTGTGATTCTCCTTCATCTTCTTTTTATGATAAAACCCTCATCCTCTTTAACAGATATAAATTTTAACAAATCAAACATCAAAAATAAATAACCAAATGAAGTTGAAATTGAATCAATATACATTAAAAACAAAAGCAAAAACAAATCAAAAGGGGATAAAAGATAAATGATCATCATTATTAAGAACTTGTCCAAGATAAATAGACCAGCAGAAATTATGAAGAGGTTCTCAAGGGTAATATTTAAAACCAGTTAACTATGATTGCTGATATTAATTGAAATATATTGTTTCTCATTCGAATTGGTAACTGTAATAATTACCAGGATTGAACTAAGAGCTAGTAAATGGGATCACAGAGGACTCATACACGATACAAAGTAGAACATGAGATAGAGGCAGGTCAAAAGAGACCAAAACAACAGCACATATGGCGTATAAACACGTAGTAAATATTTGAAAAATCATGTGTAAGATACTCTGGATTATTCCCAGTAGTCAAGTTTCACAACCATAAACACTTAGATCTATAGGTTTAAGAAAGTGTTTGATTATTGATAATGTTACAGTGAAATTTGATTGTCCACTTTGCTATCCTAAGTCAAATTAATGTTCTTGTTATTGGTAATTATCAATGTGTCCTGCAATTGTGTTTCCTGAATTTCTAGGGCGTTTGATCATCAGGTTTGAAAAAGCATTTTGGTTCATTTACCCTGCATCACTGTATGGTTATTCATTTTAAATATGTTAGTAAAAATTTTAATATATATATATCTACGTAGATATGTTTATATATGTATGTGTAAAAGGCTTGGTCTAAAATTATGATTGTTTTGTACATGCAAAAGTGATGAAGCCATCCACATCAAGAGAACCCGAGAAGGTGAAACAACCAAGAACGAACTGGTTGGAGCTTCCATCAGATGTAATTGCCAATATACTTTCCAGAGTTCATGTGCTTGATATACTTGAGAATGCCCAGAAAGTGTGCACTACTTGGCGAAAAATCTGCAAGGATCCTTCTATGTGGAGGGTTATTTGTATGGATTATTTGAATTTTGATGACATGTCGAAGGAAGTTGCTGTGTGGAAGCATGTTGTGGATAGAAGCCAAGGCCAATTGATTGATATCACCATCAGTGAGTTTGATGATGATGAGATTATTCAATATGTTGCTGATAGGTATGGGAATTTATTGGAATTGTTTATTTGTGCATATAATAAAAGCCGAAGAGGCTCCGTGTTACTTTTTTATCCATCAGATTGCTCTTAATTGTTCAGTGAGCATATTTTAACTCAGGGGCAGTTTACCAAAAATTTACTGGATATTTTCGATCAACGGAATGGATTGCTTGTGAGCGTCTTTACTAATAAGCGCTTATCGGGTAATTTTTTTTTCTCACCAACCGGGTAAGATTCTGGTCGTTCCATGCCTCTTACCAGGTAAGTGACACTAGGTAAGTTTGTGGTAAATGTCCCCTTAGTTATTTTTTTTAGTTACATTTTAAACGATAATTAGCAAACTGGAATTGGTCTCTTATTTTTTGTCAGGAAACATATCAGGTTTAACTATAAAGTTCTAATTTTTTGATATGCGCTATGTTGCCGTTTAATTATTTATGTTCCTCTTGCAGATCAAGTCAACTTAGACGTCTCAAAATCATAAATTACTCTGAAGATACTTATCCATATAAAAACTGGACTGAAATCTTGAAGAAATTTCCGTTATTAGAGGAGCTAAGTCTTTACTCAAGAGAAATATCAAAAGAAGCTATTGAAACTGCCGGTCGTTATTGCCCAATGCTAAAAACTTTCAAACTTAAAGGAGGAGCACTGTGTAGATGGCTCGGAGATACTCATAATGAGATAGCCATAGCTATTGGGGAAAACTTACACAAGTTGGAGAACCTTGAGCTGATTGGAAACAGCCTCACAAATATTGGGTTGCAGGTCATTTTGGATGGTTGTCCCCACCTTAAATCACATGACCTGCAACATTGCTGGTCACTTGATCTCAAGGGAGACTTGGGGAAAAGATGTTCAGAGCAGATCAAATGTCTAAAACTTCCTTCCTATGATGTTTTATATGGTGATGATTTATATGATGATGATGATTATTATCAAGAATATGATAAAGACCTCGAGTATGAGGGTTACATTGACTAAGGTTATATATGATGGAGACCTTAACTACGAGGATTACGCTGATATTTTCTTTGAAGCTCTTGATGTTGCCCAAAAAAATATTGACTTTTGCTTTAGGGATCGCTTCTGAAACAAAAACGAATGTGAAAGATGATCAAGGTTCTAAACAGTTGTGGGTCGCTTCAGTTTTCTGCTCAAACATATCAAAGATTTTGGTTTTTGTGTATGTAGCCTTTTGCTAAATTTGTGGTTGGTCTAATGGATGGTTTTTTGGTTCATTGGTCAAGTGATCCAATGTAGAGTCGGCCCCACACTAGTGCATACAGTGGCATGGGCCATCGCTTTTATAACCCCTCGTATTGTAAATCTTTTTAGAACTGTGAAATATACCATGGGTATCGTTGGTTGGGTTTTGTCCATACCTATCAACAACATATATGAGCAGCTTCTTAGAAGAAATATCCATAATGGTGACAATTTGTCCATAACATGCTTACACATAGCAAGGGCCTTGCAACTTTTTGAATTTAGGGGCCTTGAATTTCGATCATAAACGGTATTCAATTGGTAGGGTCATTACACATGTCAAGCACCGACGATTGGGTGTATATTTATTGTTATGTTTACTGTGAGATCCAACCAACTCCTTGTTAGTAGTTTCATTTGCAAACTATTCTTCGATTTTGGAGTGAACTTGCACTTCTTGGGTATTTGCTTATTTGATTTTGCATTGCCACTTTATTTATTCGTGTAACGTTAAATAAAAAATAACCCAAGTGCAAGATCACTCGAAAACACAAAAAGTGTTTGTAGATGAAGCGACCAACAGGGAGTTGGTTGGATCTTCCGACATATATATCAGAAAATATAGTATCGAGAGTCTGTGTTTATGACCAAAACAACTGTGTTGAAATAGGTTAATTGGGAAGTGAGAAGCTATAGAATATTTTCGAGCACAGTTATACAAGCACGTAAATGCAATAGATGACCCGCTGGATGTTGATGATGAGGGTTAAGAAGAATTGGTGGCAAATATTACTACTACAGGGGGGGGCGTATAAAGTTTGCGAAAAGGTATCACATGGGATTTGTTAAATCGCTGTTAATTTAATTATTTCACATATGATATGTTTAATCTTATGGAGTTGTTAATGTGGTGATGAATCAAATGTGATTTACTTAACGTCTAGAGCGGCAGAACCCCACAGGGGCCTTTGGGGGCGATGACCATCTCGCTTTTAGCTTCAAATCTATAGTTTAACTTTAAAGGACACGTATTATAAGGAGAGCAATTGATACATCCTTAAGGTCACAGTTTTGAAACCTGTCTCTTGTATTTAACCCTTTTTCTTTCCATTCAATTTATATTAAACTAATATTTAATTTATATGTAAATATTAGTTTTTAAACTTAAATAAATCATGTTTCCTAATTATCAATGTTAATTATATGTAAATATTAATTTTTAAATAATATAAAGGAATAATGTTTAATCTTACATTGACCAATCTTTTTCTATAATTTAATAGTCCAAAAACGTATCATCTAGATTTATGAATTTTTGCAATATATTATAACATTTCTAACAAATTCTCTAAAATTTCTTCAAAATCGAGAAATAAAATTAAAAATCTTAAAAAAAGGTACATTCATCTTCAAAATATTAATTATATTATTAAATAACTAAAAAGGTACTCGCACAATACAACAAGATACATCTTGATTTTACTATTTTATTTTATTATTTATCTCAGTAGATGTTATAGTATGGTCTTATGTGATTTTGAAAAAACGATGTTGTTTTTATTTTTAAATAAAATATAAATTTGAAGATATCATTAAAATTTGACAAAAATATATYGATATTAGTATCAAATTAACTATTTTAAAATTCCTATTTGTGTGTAGTTTTTTAATTCAATTTTTTTATTATAATTTAATTTAGGTTCAATAACAAAGTAATTTATATTTGGTTTAATAATATAATTTTTTATATATAATAATTAATTATTTTGTTAGAACTCGATAATTATCCTAATTATATTTTAGATTTTTTATATATTTTAAAATGAGGTGTTTATTCTCTATTTGATTATGTTTATCCGCAGCTAGTTACACGAATTCAAACATGAAGCTTTAATAAGCTGTACTTATGCATAATCTACTTGTAATCTTGAATTTTAAGTAATATGCATCAATATATAGTACTTCATGCATAAAAAATGGTTTTTAAGAGTTTTCTGTCAAATACTTTATAATATAGTATAGATTTGAATATCTAATAAAATATTATTGTTCTCTCATAAACCTTTAACATCAAGGATTCCTATCGGTATGATTATATTTAAAAAAACGTTTCTCATTCGATAGTTCTCAAAATTTGGAGAAATTTACATCATTTCTCCTGTTTTCTCCATTTTGAAGAAGCTCTCTGTGCAAAAATATGCGTAAAATCTCCAATTTCTCTGTTTTGAAACTATCTGTTAGAGATGCTCTTATATTCCACCCCGATACTACAATAGTGTGTTCCACCCTTATTCACATGTGATACTCTTGGTTGTTTATGTGCGATTACAGTGCTTCACTTGTGACACCTAGGTTGATCATGGTGCAATACATAGATCGAACATCCACTTGCTCTTAATTTGCTTGGGGGTTGGTATCTTTGAGACCTTACCACCTTTCTTGGAGTAGAAACAAACATCTTTTTGGTACAACGTAAAACATATCTGTTTTAGTTTGAATATTCATTAATGATTGATATCCATATACTAATTACATATTTACCACTTGATTGCATCTTGTTTTTTTGAGGTTATTTTGCTTTATTAACTGTCATTAGTTTTGGATTATTTAGTCATACTCCTCTTATTGACTCAATATTAGCCTATTTTATAGGCAGATAAATATCTTAAATAACTGGTATACATCAACTCATTTAGGAAAAAACTGACAAAAGAGCCGTCACATAGGCAGTGTAGAAACGTCTTCCTTCCCGTATTTGGAACTGTTAGGATGGGTTTTCGTTGTGGTAAATAATGCTAGGTTAATTATCACATGTGGCATGTTTAACCGTATGGAATTGTTAATACGACGATGACTCACATGTGATTTGTTTAATCTATGGACATGTGTATCACATGTGATACCTCGATTGTTTTTGCATGATTACAATGCATCACTTGTGATACAGAGTTTCGAGGTTGTATCTTTGAGGGCTTACCACCCTACATGATTATTACATTATTAACCTTAATGAGTTATTTATTTTAAAATCATTATTATGAGCTAAATAGTTTTGAGGCCTATGATTGTTTTTCGTATTTTCGTAAAATAATGTTCTCGTTTGAACCTTTCGTCTATGATATTGTATAACATGATATATTAAATATTTTATTATATATAATACTAGAAAAATACTCGTGCAATACATCGAGACACATTTCCATTTCAATGTTGCGTTTTATTTTTTACCCATGTCGATATAATACAATTTTATATGGTTTTGAGAAACCGATAATGTTTTTTATTTTTGAATAATATATAAATTTGAAAATATCATAAAAAATTTGCAAAAAATATATCAATATTAGTATCAAATTATCTAATTAAAAGTTCTCGTTTGTTTATTTTTTTTATTTCAAAATTTTTATTATAATTTAATTTAACGTAACGAATTAACTTAATTTAGGTTTAATAATATTTTTTTATAAAGATAATAATTAAGTATTCAGTTAGAACTCAATAANTAAATTTTTTATATTTTAAAATGAGATGTTTATCCTCTATTTGATTATGTTTATTCGCAGTTAGTTACACGGATTCAAACATAGAGCTTTAATAAGTTGTATTTTATGCACAATTTACTTGTAATCTTGAATTTTAAGTAATATGCATTAATAAACAGTACTTTATGCATAAAAAATGTTTTTAAGAGCTTTTATCAAATGTTTTATAATATAGTATAGATTATATTATACTTTATATTCGATATTTTAAACAATGTTTTAAATGAGGTGAAATTATGAAGAAAAATCGAGAGAAAAATTATATATATATTTCCCAAAAATACACAGAGCCCCTTGAACAATTTGAACCATAACTCTGATACCCTTTAACTCTTCCAAGAAGTAATGCGCAGCCCTTCAACAAAATCTGACAAATTTAGGTTTTTCAACTTTAACACTTTCTACCCTTATCAACAAATTTCCCGTCAAAACAAGGACAATAGTCAAGATTGGCAAAAATATTATATTTTGACAGCATCGTTCTTACCGGGTAAAATTATTGCTTATAACCATATTCATACGGTAAGGTAATGTGACTTGAGAAACTCTTACCCAGATTAACGTTTGATAAAGGACACATAAAGTCAAAATTCGTTACATGTTGCTATTTTTACTTATAAGTAAATTGATTTTATTTAAAATTTTATTTTTTTATTATATGTAATTTTAAGAATACATCTTTTTTTTATAAGATTTAAATTTAAATTTATTTATTAACCATTATAACATATCAATATGATCCAGTATTTTATTAGGTTTTTCATCATTTAGATTCATTAAAGTTAATATGAATTATATGAAATAGTAATAAAGCATAAATGAAATCCTGAATTTGACATCAAAGAACAAATAAACAATGATCAATCCAAATGTACAAATGAAACCCTAAGTTCGATGTCAAATAACAAAAAAAAATCAATCAAAATATATCACCAAAGAGACAACGATTAATAAAAATTCAATAACATTTATAAAAAACGACGACAAAAACCAAATTAAAAAAAACACAGGAAGCACATATATTACCTCAAATCAAAAACTCGTTCAACACCGAAACTTGAAATGGTGAAGGAGAAACAAAGATGGAGGAACTTATGGTAAGGATAGCGTGATTGGAGGCAGAGATGGAGAAGCACATTGTGGAGAGTTGATAATGATACGAGTACCTTGAGAAATCAACAGTCACCATGAAGGTTGTGCCTTGGGAGCGCATTTGGGAGCCAAACAACCTGG